AGCCTGAATGACTTCTGCAGGCAAGGCAGGGCCCTCCTCTTTCCAAGGGTCTTTCAGGAGGACACAAGCCTGTGTCTGTCGAAGGCGGTAACTAGTAAAGCGAACAGTTGTGTGTCTGAGCGACAGGGGTGGGAAAGGGCCGTGCCTGGCAGCAAGCGGCAGGCTCTGCCCGCGGGACCCGGCAGGTCATGCTTTACTGGCCGCGCAGTAAAAAAAACCCCATCCCTCTTCATTTTTTGTGGCAGCTACCTGGCGGGGAGGACTGATGCCCCGTGATTCCCATCTGCTGCGCGCTCGGGAACAGCCTGGGGCTCCTGCACACGGAGTTCCGGCAGTTGGCTGCCGCGGTGGTGGCACGGTCGGTCATGGCCACGCAGGAGAGCAGCCTGGCTGCAAAGCCAAGCCCGGCTGCGAGCTGAGCTCGTGCCTACGGGTTCCATACATCACTTGTGCTCAAGCAGTGCCATCAGCAGGTTTCATCCTCTGCCAACACTGGTTTGTGGCAGGAGAGCAGCCCTGTAACGCCCTCAGTCCCGTCCCTACTCCAGGGTTGCTCAGAGCAGCCCAACGCGGGCTGGGGAGGAGATACAGCCCGGGGTGAGGCTTCAGCACCGTTCCCACTTTGCAAGTGAGACTTGAGAGAGACTTGAGGTGGGATGCATCAGCGCGGTTTTGCACAGGCGTGAAATGAGGGTTCTGGGGACCGGCAGGGGGGGGACTGGGGGCAGCGCAAGGGAGCCGAACGCCGACGGCGCAGTGCAGAGCCTCGCTCCGGCAGCAGGGATGCAGGAAAGGGGGAAAAGCTGCGGTAGGAACGGGCAGGATGCATCGAGAGCCCAACCACAAGCCTCAGCCCCGGGTGGCTTTTTCAGTGGCGGCCACGCCAGGGGACCTTCCCCCCCCATCCCGAGCTTGATGAAAACTGGAAGCTTAGGAACAATGGAAATGTTATTACAATTTCTTCACAGGCAGATTTGGAAATTCAGTCCAGACACTCCAACCGCTCCCAGGCAGGGAAGTCAAGCACACAGCGCAGGCTTTAGTCCTCAGTTCTTCTGAACATGGAATTTTCTAAATCCAACACGGGACTATCTTTTTTTTTTCTATGAGGCAATTAAAAAAAAAAAAATTAATCAGATCTTGGGTTCTCCCTTCCACTGGCCCTTATGGAAACAGAAATCCACACTTTACTACTTTACGGGGGAAAAAAGCTTGCGGGCAGCTCAGCGTGGCTACCTTCTGGATGCAAAAGTTTGTTCTGTAAAACAATTAACAGCGATGCTGTGCAACAGGGATAGTTCCGGCAACGATCGTAACAAACGATGTCTAAAACAGCCCATGTTCCTTCCAGCTTGGGGGGAGGGCAGGGATGGGCTGGGGCAGAGTACTCCTCCTCAGGATTTAACTGCTCCAAGGAACAAAATAGCCCAGTGCTATTATTTTATTCTTTTTTCTCCCCCAACTCGTTCAACAAAGGTGACCAAAATCTCACACCCTGTTCCAAAAAAAATGACCTCACTGGCCCCTTATCTAGTTACAAAATATTTTCCTCCTCTGCTTCTATTTCAGCCTGGCAGGGACTTCCCTCGCTGCTGTCAGCCCAGTGCGGGTTATCTCGAGTTTTCCAGTCTTGGGTGGGGGGCAGGAAAGCAGTTTCTTCCCCCTCTTCCTTAATTGAAATTAAGCTGAAATCCTTTGATGCTGATGGCTTTGGAAGACAACTCCTGCCAGAAAGCTGTTTTGCTGCTCGTCCCAGCACAGCGGACTGAAGCTCGGGTGAAGCCTGCACCCCGTTATGAGAATGAAGTCACGAATTAATGAGGGATCCTGCTTTTCCTCTCCCTCTTCACAGCTGATTACAAGGCAACCCCACCCTCCTTTTAGATTTCTAATTTCATTC